AGGCCCCTGCCTTCTGTGTTCCCGCCACAGCCTCACCATCAGCCTCTCAGCTCAGGCTCACCCGTTGGTCGTGAACCTGCCCCCTCCTACGAGAACACAGGCTGCCACGGGTCACACAGACGTGGCGGCCTCCCGCGTGCTTGGCACTGCCCCCGCTGCCTGGCTAACTCCTTCACAGCAAACCCACAGACAGCCTGTCCCTAACCCACAGCCCACTGCACCGGACTCGGAGCCTGCCCGGGGCACGGAGGAGCAGGGGCGCTCGGCTCTGCGGACTGCTCTCAGGTCCGCCCCTGGGAGTCTCCAAACCCGCCTACGTCCACACCACCTCCTGGCCTGTCCTCCAGCCAAGTCCCACCCACCCCGTGCCCCGGGCCCTCCCCTCTCCTCTAGACTCCGCAGACACCTGCCAGCTCCTTGCCCCGGGCAGGTTTCACACACCGCCCCCCTCTGATGACTGGCCACCCTCTGCCCTGCTAAAGCCCTGCACACTGCCACGCCAGCACAGGGCCTCTGCATGCTCTTCTGGATCCCCATCTCCACCAGGCCCCTCACTCGCAAGTTCTCACTGTGGTCCGTGGCCACGCCCTCCTTCTTGGCTCTGTCTGCCTCCCCCACAGCACTGTGACCCCCAGGAACACAGGGCCGCGTTCGCACTTTCCTGCCTGGGCACTCCCACCACCCTACCCGGCATGGCCTCCCCACACGCCAACACTCAGCGTGTTGCTGGAGAACAGATGTGGCTTCGGACACCTTGCGTAGGTGGGCCCTTAGAGAGGTGTCCCCATAGATGTTCCATCCTGAAGGAGCAGAGACCCAGCCCTGGCTTAATGCACTGGTCAGGCAGCGTCGGTGACTGTCACGTTGGCTCCTGACCTGACCAGAGGCTTACCTTCCTCACAACATTTTTAAAAAGAAGAAAGCAAAAACATTTATTTAGCTATGTATTCGTTGTGATTTTCAAGCTGCTGGGCCCAGGACTTGAACTGTGCTCGGCCATATGAGAACCTAGCATCTTAACCACCACGCCACCTGCTGCCCCCCTTTGCAACCTTTGAGGCAGAGTTTACACTGAGAATTCTTAGGGTCACATGCCTGAAAGTGCCGGCCCCTCAGACACAGCTGTGCCGTCTGCCCCTCACCCTCTTTGCGGTCCTGTCGTCCCTCCTCCCGGCCCACCACACCCCACTCAGCGTTAGGACAATGACCCGGAGAGGGGTCCCTGCAGGCCCTGGGTACCTGGAGTGAGGCCAAGGTTCTCGGCCACCTCCTGGCCCTGCCAGCCACTGGGTCTTAGGCGTGTGGCTGGAGGAAGGGCCAGTGGCCCCGGCTGGCCCCAGGAAGTGGACGGGGATGCAGCTCACCAGTGGGAGGGCCCTGGGTGTGTGACAGGGCGGAGAGCTGGGTGGCAGGGGCCTTTGGTGACAGCAGCCTCTCCCCCCAGTCTGCCTGAAGGGAATCAAGGTGCACATGAAGTGCTTTCTGGCCTTCGCCCTGGCCAAGACCTTCCACGAGGCCAGCGAGGACTGCATCTCACGTGGGGGCACGCTGGGCACCCCGCAGACGGGCGCGGAGAACGACGCCCTGTACGAGTACCTGCGCCAGAGCGTGGGCGGCGAGGCCGAGATCTGGCTGGGCCTCAACGACATGGCCACCGAGGGCGCCTGGGTGGACATGACCGGCGGGCGCACTGCCTACAAGAACTGG